TAAGCAAGTACTCATATAAATAAAGACAGCCCAACACCAATCAACCTGCCCTCTCTCCTTGAATTTCACAGCAATAAAAAAGGACCTGTTATATATTTGTTCAATATCAACATCTGATTCCCATAACAACAGCAAACCACCACTTGAACCTTTCACTACAAAATATCTATTAACAAAACCCAATCTTCGACACACATGAGCAGAAAACCTAACTGATTTCTTAACTTCAGATAAAAAAACAAAAGCTGGGTGATGGAGCCTTAGGCCTTCCTTAATCTGGGAACTGTAGAGGGCCCACCTAGACCTCTACAGTTCCACACCAAAGCCCTCATTGAGACTGTGAGGGCTCCTTAAGGTTGGCCCTCTTCACCTGTGTCAATGAAGGTTTGAACTTTTTCTCACAATGATCTTGTGTATTGGTCATTGGGGAAGTAGGATTTTGGAGTTCCACCTCCCTTTGTCTTTTGACTAAAATTGCTTTATCCCCCAAAGTACTAGGCACCCTAGCCCTAGTCAATCTCCCCACTGAATTTACTGATCTTTTTCATGTTCTTTTCCCAGAGGTTGATGTGTTATCCTGGCCAATAGGTAAGGATTGTGACATTGATTGTTCTCTGATCTCCTGAATCCCAGCTTCTGGACTATTAACCCCTTGAATCATAATGTCCATCAGGTTGCTCTGTGACCCAGCCTCAACCACCATCAGTTCTTTGTTTTTGTTACCCTGTTCAGAGCCCCCCCATCTGTGAAGAACATGTAAGATCTCTAACAGATGAAGTCTCCTTAGGAACAAAGCTAGCCATGACTCCTGGGGATCCTTGAGTTCCTTCTGACCTCTGGTTCTCCTTTGCTCCCATATTACTAGTAGCAAAATCAGTATCATTTGATGGCCCCGAAGCTGAGTTACCATTAGTCCACGCTTGGCCCTGTAACCCTTCTGAAGCTCGCATCCATTCTCTATACTGGCCTTCCTTGAGATTGTGATTCTCAATATCATCTACCCTTTTACAACAGTTTTTCTCAATATGCCCAACTATGCCACAATAGAAACAGAAATTAACCAACCTCTCATACTTAAAGGTGACTGTAATTATCTAGCTTCCCAAGCGGATAGAAGCACATCTGGGAAGAGCTTCATTCACATTGACAGTCACCAGTAACTTTATCAACCGCCCCCCTTGACTGCCTAAGTTACTAATCAGCACATTAGAGCAGGATTTGAAGACCTGCCCTATCTTCAACCCAACTTCTGAAGTTAGCCATTCCAGCGTAACATGATGTACTTGGACCCAAAACCTCAATTCACTGAAGCAATCGTCACTGCTCTTAAGCCCAGCCTTCCATCCTTTTAAAACTAGATATTAATTGTTGAAGATCCAGTTGGTTCCCCTTGCTATCCTCCTCATATCCTCTTCTTTTTCGAATATAAATTGAAAGAAGTTCCGCCCTAGCTCGCGCACTTCCAAGGACGATTGTACCTTCCATATAAGTCCCATCGCCCTTTTAATCCCAACGAGGTTCACCCTTTTATCGCCCACAACCCTCCCAAATAGACTTTTGTGGCACTCGACCACACTGGCCTGCACATCTTCATCTTGAATATCAATAATCCAGTTCTCCACTACTGAAAGTGATAAAGCCCTTAATCTATTTTCCACTTCCTCTGTAGGGTTACTCTGGAAATCCTCTGCCATAAATCGTAGCCACAGAAACAAGACCACCACCTATCAAAAGAGTATATTTGCGAAAACGAGAATAAAATTGAACGTGAATGGAACCTCTCCTAAGAGAGAACCAAACTTTCCGATGAAAGAAGCGACTCTCCGATGAGAGAAGTAGACTCTCCGATGAGAGAAGTATATATTATAAAATATAAAAAGTGAACTTTCAACTTTTTTAGATTTTTCTTGTTACCTTCGAGTTGTATTCATGATTTTGTTGCATTGTTTACACATGTTGTCATCATTCTTGTAAACTGAGGAGGAGCATTTTTTGCTTGATTCATACCATAAAGACGATTTATTCTTGGCTTTGTCGCTAAATCCACTTAAATAATAGTATTTTCCCTATGATGGAAAAAAAAGAAGTTTATGGATTTAAATATTAGAACCAAAGAATATGTTAGTTATTTATAATATTTGTTAAAGGTACCTCAATTAGCTTGGCACAGTTGTTGAAAATTTGATGCAAGGTGATAATATCGACATCCTTGATTCTTTGTGTCATTGACATTTTAATTATTTTCATAGGCATGTCTTGTGTTTGTAACCTAACAAAAAATACAAAAAGTAGGAGTTAATATTATTTTTTATTAAAAACTAATATTCTTTATACCGCATCATGAATTTAGAAGATACCATTTACGCATATGATTGTTTTCCTCAGACTTTGTGTTTATTTGAAGAATAGATGCTACACTGGTTCGCAATTGCAATTGGCTTGATCAAATAAATATGAACAAAATAAGAGCAAGAGATGATATTTAGTTAATAAACTAGTGCGATTCCCGTGCACTACACTGGTATTTGATAAAATATTAAATGTACAACAAAAATGAAAGAAAAGAATGTTTATATATTTTGTTGAAATTGAAAAAAAAAAATACGGAACAATATATAATAATTTATAATAAACAACTAAATGAATTAACAACATTATTTTAAATTCTTAAAACTAATTTATATACATCATTAGTTCTATTTATAATTTTTTTTTTCAAACACCTGAGAATAATATGGACAAAACCAAAATTTTTGAAAAGTAAAATAATATGAACGTTATATAAAAAAGATAATAAATAGATTTATATAAAATAGTTAAATATATTAAATAAGTGTATTTATGGCAATCCAAACCTAAGATATATGGTATAAAGAAAGTAATAATTTTTATCCGAACTATATTACAAAGCGTAATATTTTACCACATAAGATTACAAAGCATGTGAAACTGTCACTTAGGCTCAGTGCATTCTGCAATTATATATACAAGGAATGTGTAACCTCGTGTCAAATTAAGATAGAATGAATTATATAGTATTTTGGAGCAAATAAACAAAATAATAAGATTTGAAAACCAAAACCATTTCGGTTTCCATCCATGTAGTGATTTAAGGACGTCCTTACTACTCTCGGACAGACCAAAACCATTCTGGTTTCCATCCATGTCGCGATTTAAGGACGTCCTTCAACAAATTAGTGTACTTGCCTTCTCGAGGATGAAGGTGGATATATCTTGATACCTCTTTGGCAGTTCTCCACACGTAAATGAAAGTCGACCATCCTTTCGGGGCAAATATCATCACCAGGGAACACAAGCGATATATCACACTCAGATGTACCTGGATGATAGCAATACCCCACTCCCTCTGATATTTGGCGATAACTAGGCGCAGTGGGAACCTCAGTCCTGATAAGATTGCCTCCTTACGCACTGTAACACTCCCCGCTAGAGGACAATGAATTTACGCACTGTAACACTCCCCTCTAGAGGACAATGAGCTCACTCACGTTCGTATGGAGCAAACATCTTGACGATCCCCAATATCTCATACTTCTCGCGCAGTCTCAGTAGTTTGAGATCCTTCAAGGTGCTCGCCTGATTACAAATTTCCATATCACTGTCCTCTGACGGTTCTCGTACCAGCATACGGCGCCAGAAACCCTCCGGCATTGGAACTTGACTCTCAATCTCTTCCATTTCATGATCGATTGAGGAAGACATGATTTTCAGAGAAGAAGAAACCAAACAGTTATGTTAAGGTTTTTTTTCAAAAAATTCAAATCCTTGGGAATTTCTGAAGTAAGGCGACAAAATACCTCCCTTTTATACCAAAAGTCCTCCTCTAATCGTTGAATCATGTCACTTTAAGGCTCGAACTCCAAGAGACGCGTCTGCACTTGAACTGTCATGCCTTAATTCTGACAAGATGTGTCTCCCAATTTAATGCTTCGAAATGATGTCTCGAGTCCATTCGATGCAGCTGTCACGTGATCGGCAATGCACTTTTATGTCGACGCTGATTTGGGGCATAGCTTTCCAAGCGGCTCAAGCGTTCTCTCCCCACCTAGAAACCTGGGGGCCTCTATGTTGTACCTAAAAATTATTCGATCACAAAAGAAGACGTGGCCCACATACAAATCTCAACCCAAAAAGACGAACAAGGCCCAGAGCACGGAAATCATCCCATTGACGGCCCAAGTGATCACCATTAGGGTTGTCGATCGCCAAATCAACATGCCAATCGCCCGCGGAAGCTTCTCCGAGAAGACTGGCGATCACTTCTACCCGATGATGTCCCATCAACTTTTTCCTAGAAACACGCGGCGTCACCCTACGCCCATAGCTGACACTCTTTATTTAATGCACTGACACTTTTTTCGTGTATAGATACCAACCCTCAAGCCCCCAAAATGAATGCAAGCCAACCTAGGCAAATCATTCAAAGATCATCACGATCACTATTACTCCTTCACAACATTACATATCCGATCTTCTGAAGATCACAAAAAAACTTTCGGTTGTATCCATCTTACAAAATTTGTAATAAAGCTCCAGAGAAACTATCTCATTGTTGGTCGTCACAGCCAATCGGCAACATCAGTGTTTTGTTTCCTTTTTATGCATACTTATTCGGTTGCGATCTAGTTATATCCCACATCATTAAAATACACCATAAGTATATCATAACTCGCGATTAAACTGCCTTAAAAATACTTACTGTAACTGTTGGCGACCTACCGTCAACAAACATAAACAAAATTATGGCATGTAATGAAATAAAAATGCATTTTTATTCGAATAGTTTGACGGATTATCTAACGATTAAGTTGCCTCATACAAGAATTTTTCATATCCTATATTATATAATAATGGAGCTTATATGTAGAACCATATTGAAGTTGGAATATATAATTTTAAATTACAGAATCACCATTAAAAGTATACCATATGTAACAACTTTTTAGTCCGCACAATATTTCATTAAGCGATTATTTCTTTTATAGATAGATCATACAATTAAATTCATAATCCCTACACGCCCATTGGTTGTGCGCCTCGCCTGCTTTTGCTACCGAGTCGCGCACCATGGCTTGTCCACCTGCCACTTTGCCTAGCGCCGTGGACACTGCACGCGCTATGTGCACCACACGCGTGTCCAGGCCGCTGTCGACGACCAATCTTTTTCCCACCTTTCCTATACAAACAATTTCGACAGGAACCAATTTCCCCGCTACCCCTCCAAATTTGATAATGGTAGGGATCTTCTCATGTCTCCTTTACAATTTCATTTTTCATAAATGAAACACTTGATCAAAACTGAAAACCATTTTAAGATGAATGATAAATTAATTTTAATTTAGATAATAAATAAATAAATAAATTTCGTAGCTCAAAACTAAACTTATATAACTAAAAAGTTGGTTAGAATCAAAAACTGTAAATGTGTGAACGAGCATTATCAAGTGTCTAGACACCGAGCCTATCATG